AGCGGGTGTGCTCCAGGGAAGGGGTCGGCCGGACCGGGAGGCACCCCAAGGGAGGCACTCGGAGCCTGGAAGGTGGGCGGGCACAGGGAGGTGGGCGGCTCAACGCAGGAGCGCCCCCTACTGGCCCGCCACAAAGTGCAGAGGGGCTGTGTGCTGCATGCAGTCAGGTCCCTCAGTGCCACCCATGTCTCCATGTCCTGGGACCCCCAGCTGCAGTGGGCATGGAGCCCCCCCAGGCTAGGGTGACCACCTGTTCCTAATGGGGCAGGACAGTCCTGGAATGGGAGCCCCAAGTCCTGCTCCCAGGCTGCATGACTGTGGAGCAGCACGTGTCCAGGATTGGTACCATTGTGCAGGGAACTGCAGGAAACGGTGGGTTTCCACTTGCAGGCTGGCAGCGCTCCAGCCTTCCTGGGGCTGCTTGGGGCTGCCAGGAGTGGGATGCTGGGGGCCATGTTCATGTGCACCCCTGCACTCATGCACATGGCCAGGAATACAGTCAGGTAGGGTGGAGAGCTGCTCCCAGCAGGTATGTCAAAGATGTGGGGGGAGGGATCATGCAGGGGCAGATCAAGGCCCCCACAGTGAGGGAGGGATTGGGGTAGGGGATGAGGCACTGCCCAGCCAGGGTGGTGCATGGGGCTGGAGCAAAGCAGGATGGAAATATGGGTGGTTCATCCATGGGGAACAGGGTATTGTAGCTCCCCACTGCTGCGCGCACATCCAGGGGGTGGAAAGGGGGGAAATTCCCCACCAGTTTTTTTTTTTTTGGGGGGGGTGGGGCAGGAATGGGCTGTCCACTGCAGTCTCAGGACTCCCTGCCTGCTGTCCAGCCCTGGGATGCCCATGCTGCAATGGCAATGCACCCCCTGCTTGCCTGGCAATAGTGGGGCAGGAGCATCATGGAGTCATGCACCCCACTACTGCTGGTGCAGGGCTCCTGGGGGAAGCCCCGAGCCTGCAGCAGGCAGCCCACATCTGCCTCAGCCCCATTTGACTCTGCTGCAGCCATGCTGCCAGGAGAGGTGTGTGGGGAGGGGGAGTCGGGAATATGTCCTGCCTCTGTAATTTGAAAAGGTGGTCTCCCTACCAGAAACCTGAAATCACCAAGGCGGTGCCAAGTTTATTCTGAAAAGGATCAAACTGCCCCTTTTCAAGGGGGAGGGGAAAGCTCTTCCTGGGTGATGGATCACAGGGGCCAGGAGGCATGGGTCTGCAGAGCCAGGAGGGAACCAGCCCCAACCCTGCTCCTGCCCTGCCTTGGGCTGTAGGCTCTGCACTGAGCTCCAGGCATCTTCCTATGCCCCCGGCCCCTGGCCCTGAGGCACTAGTGGTAGCAGGTGGAGGAGGGGAGTTTGCGAAGGCATCAGGAGCCCCACAGTCCCAGGGATCAGTGCCTGGCAAGGTGGCCGAGGGGGCTGTGCAGGCCTGCATTGCAGTGCTGTAGAGAGAGCGGCAGCAGTGCTCCAGCAGCTGTGGCTGAGCCATGTCTGGCTGCGCACTGTCCCGGTACCTGCCCCACTGCTGGGGGATCCGGAGGAGCAGAGAGATGTTGCAACCCTAACCTGGGTGGCGGCCCAATAGTTGCCACCCCTGCCCAATGTCAGGGATGGGGTGGTGAGAGTGGGGCAGGGCTTCTGGCCAGCACCAATTTAGTTCCCAGTCGGCTCCTGCTCCCCGCAGGGCAGCCCGTGTTCCCAAGAAGGTCTAACACTTAACTGATTTAACTATTTATACTTTATTTACAAAACAAGACTAATTGGAAAGGTTGTTTACACGTGAACTTCAATGGCACACGCAGAATCACAAGACAAACCAGAATGCATTAGTCAACCCTGGACTCAAGACCCACAGGTAGGGTAACTGCCAGCTGGCAGCCACTGCTGAGATGCTACAGCAAGGAAGCAGGGTGCTCGCTTCCACCAGCTCCAACAGGCTTCCTAATAAGCGACAGACTGCAACAGGTTCAGCTCTTCTGGTCTGCAGCAATCAAACTGTATCAAACCCCAACCCCCAAAAGAGGCTGAAGGGCGACCCTCCGTGGCAACCACAAGGCAAGCAACAAGCAACAAAGTAGGCCCCTGCAGCAATCGGCATGACCCAAGCACAAAGCTCTGCAACTCCTTCCGATGACAATCAGCTGCAGAGTAAGGATCAGAACTGAGTCCCCTCTGAGGCAGTCAGTAGCAGACGGTCAGCAGTACAGGCAGCTCCCAGGGGTCGTTGCTCTAAACCCCTGCTCCTGATGACTGGCCAGGCGCCCCACACGCCTCGCGGCTTGCCAATCCAACTCCGAATGCCGGCCTGCGCCTCAAGCTCCCAGGGACTCTTGTCCTGGCACTCTGCTGCTCCTCAGGATCCCAATGCCTTGCCTGCTGCTCTCCCCTTCCCCAGGGAAGGTGAGGGGTTTCCTCAACTCACCGGCCCAGCTCCCTGCTCCAGATAAGGATGCTGCCTGCACTCCTGGCTTCTGCTTCTTCTCCGCAGTGGAGTGGGGGGCTGACTGCCTCTGGGATGCCCGGCACATCCAGCACACTGTGATGGGGCCTTGGGGCACCAGCTGCCTGACCCAAACCCTGGCTGCAGTTCCCTCTCTGCTGCAGGGCTGGAAGCATGGCTGCCTGCTGCTGCCATCTTCTCTCAGGGCCTTTGAAGCTCTTCAGAGGGGTCTCTCTGCTCCCTCAGCTGGGTCAGCTCACCCCAGCTCTTCTTAGGCCTCCTGCATCGTTCCCTGGAGTCACTGTCTGCTCACTGACCCCCGGGGGAGCACTTGTTTTGAACCTTTGACCCCGCACGCACACCCTGAATGTTCGGGAGCCCAGCCGCCCGATTTTCGCAGAGTGGCGGCCCCCGAAGAATTTTTTAGTGTCTTAAAGTGTTCCAGGAAAACACCTGTCCGGTCACCAGCCGGACGCCAGCAACACCATCGGCCACCTGACGGGGGTGGCCCAAAGACCCCTATTGACTTTTTACATGGTTCGACAATAGTGTCAGCAGCCCCCCTGCCAGTTCAGCTACTGCTTTTATCCCCTCCGGCCATCCCTCTGGGGCTTGTAAACCGGCCAACCAGAACTAAGGGTGGTGGGTCCCCAACCCCAGCCATCCTCCTTCCATGCGAATGAGGGGATTGAAAACCCCTTCTTTCAATTGGCTTCTCCTTCTCCACAGGGCAGGGCAGGGCTCCCTGGCTCCACCCTTGGGCTTGCTCAGAGGTACTGGCACTGTTTCTAGCCCAGGGTAAGTATTTCAAGCCAATCTGGTGAGCCCACATTGGAAGTCTGTTCCACTACTCTGGTGGCAGCAGCAAGTAGGTAGGGCAGGGAGGTGTGTACGTGCCTGTGTGTATGAATGTGAATGTATGTGTGTGTGTGCCCATGTGTGTATATGTGAACATGTGCGTGCAAATGTATGTGCCTGTGGGCACACGTGTGTGAGTGTGTGTGTGAATGCATGTCTTTGTGTGTCTATGTGCATGTTAGTGTCTGTACATGCATTGCCTGTGTGAGTATGTGTATGTGTGCGAGCTGTATCAGTGTGCAGATGCATCTGTGTGTGTGTGTGTGTGTGTGTGTCCATGTGGGGGACATGTTTGGGGAGGTGGGACACGTGGGAGGATGTCCCCTCTGGTTATGCCCCACACATGGTAGCACAGAGGGGCTGAGTGCCCCACTGCCAATTGCCTCGTCCATCAGAGCGACACGGACACACGCCGTGTCACCCGCACCCCCCAGGACCCCCCACCCAGTATCTTTGGAAGCTTCAGGGTTGAAAACCCCTTTGTCAGCCTGGGAAGTACCTGCAGGTGGTCCTGGATGGAAG